GCCCCTATGGAATTTTAGCCCTAAAGGATTGAACCAAGGGGAATCTTAAAAACCCTTGTTAATTAAAACCTAAATAAGGAAACCGGGGCCAGAATTTTTAACCCATTTTATTGACATGAAGGATGGAAAAGGGGGTTAAGGATTGCATAGAATTAAGACATAAAGGGAGAAAAACCAGAGAGAAGAGTAAGACAAAATTGGGCTAAAAGGGAAAGAGAGAGAAAAAGTATAACTAAGTTTTAAGCCACCGAAAGTGAAAGGAAAAAGAAATTATGACTATAGATATATTATAGACATAAAAAATTGGACAAGAGGAAAGAAAATAGACAAAAATTTTAAAATATAGAATAGAAGAAATGGACAGGAGAAAAAGATATAGACTATAGATATATATAGACATAGAACAAAATGGACAAAGAGAAGAAAGAGTTTAGACAATAGATATATTTTAACATAAAAGGATGGCCCGGGGAGAAAAGAAGAGTATGACTCTGATATATATATATAGAAAATAAAGAGGGAAACAGAAGGAGAAGAAAAAAGGGGGGGTAGGGGCTATAGAAAATTATAACAAGAAAGGGGAAAAAGGGGAAAAGAGTTAGCAAAATATATGGCCCCCCATAGAAGAGATGGAACAGAGAAAGAAATTATAACTATGATATATATAGACTAGAAGAGAGGACAGAGAAAAAGGGTATAGACTAAGATATATATAACAAAAGGGGGGCCCAAGAGAAAGGAAGAGTAAAACTATAATATATATACAAAAAAGAGGGGAGAGAAGAAGAGTATGACTTATATATTAAGACATAGAAGAAGGGATAGGAGAGAAGAGTTGACAAATAATATAATAACAAAAATAGGGAAAGGGAGAGAAGAGTAAAAGAATATAGTATATATAGACTAAAAGATCACAGGGAGAAGATTATAAATAATATATAAAAGCCCATGAAAAATGGACAGGGGGAAGAGTATAGACAAGATAAAAAATATAACATAGAAGAGATGGACAAGGGAAAAGGGTTTTTAGCCCTTTAGTTTTATTAAACAAAAAGATCCCCCGAGAGAGAAGAGAAAAATATAGCAAAGATATATATAGCCATAAGAAGAGGGACAAAAGAGAGAAGAGTATAGACATGTTTAATTATAACAAGAAGGAGGGACAGAAGAAAGGGATTATAGCTATGATAAAATTAGACATAAAAGAGATGGACAAAAAGAAAAGAGTATAGACATAGATATATATTTATACATAAAAAGGGACAGAGAGAAAGGAAGATTTAAAAACTATAGATATATATAGACTAGAAAAGAGGGACGGAGAAAAGAAAAAATAAATTTATAGATTATATAGCCCTAGAAGAGATGAAACGAGAGAGAAGAGTTAGACTATATATAAAAATATTTTTATAGACATAAAAGATGGACAGAAAAGAAGAGTAAAAGACATAGATATTTTAAAACCATAAAAGAAAAGAAAAGGAGGGAAGATTTAGACTATAGATATTTTATATATAACATAGAAAGAATGGCCCGAGAAAAAAAGGTAAGACTATAATATATATATAGACATAGAAGAATGGACAGAGACAAAGTAAAAACTAAATAATTAACATGAAAATGGACAGAGAGAGAAGAGAAGAGTTAGACTATAATATATAAAAACATAAGAGATGGACAGAGATGGAAGAGTATAGACTATAAAATATATACATGAAGAGTTTTACAAAGAGAAAAGTATAACTATAGTTTATATTTTAACATAGAAGAAGGGGACGAGAGAGAAGGGGTTAACTATAGATATATATAGACATAGAAGAGATGGACAGAGAGAGAAGAGTATAGACTATAGATATATATAGACATAGAAGAGATGGACAGAGAGGGAAGAGTATAGACTATAGATATATATAGACTTGAAAGGTTTGAATCAGGGATTGAACCCTGGTCTCCTGTGGGGGGAATGTCTTCTCAATAGGTTGTCTGCGTTATGGCTGGAATGAAAAACTCTGACATATGATGTGTGACCTCTACAGAGATACACAATTCATTAACACAATTATGTATGAGTTATATTTTCCAAGAATCAACGAGTATATACATACACTGAGTATCCAAAACATTAAGAACACCTTCCATAATATTGAGTTGCACCCCCTTTTCCCCTCAGAACAGCCTCAATACGTCGGGGCATGGACTCTACAAGGTGTCGACAGCGCTCCACAGGGATGCTGGCCCATGTTGACTCCAATGCTTCCCACAGTTGTGGTAAGTTGGCTAGTCTATTGTTGATAACACACGGTAAACTGTTAAGCGTGAAAAACCCAGCAGCGTTGCAGTTCTTGACACAAACCGGTGTGCCTGGCACCTACTACCATATCCCATTCAAAGGCACTTAAATATCTTGTCTTGCCCATTCACCCTCTGAATGGAACACAAACACAATCCATGTCTCAGTTGTCTCAAGGTTTAAAAATCCTTCTTTAACCTGTCTCCTCCCCTTCATCTACACTGATTGAAGTGGATTTAACAAGTGACATCAATTAGGGATCATAGCTTTCACCTGGATTCACCTGGTCAATCTATATCATGGAAAGAGCAGGTGTCCATAATGTTTTGTACACTCAGTGTATATATACACTGCTCAAAAAAATAAAGGGAACACTAAAATAACACATTCTAGATCTATCTGAATGAATGAAATAATCTTATTAAATACTTTTTTCTTTACATAGTTGAATGTGCTGACAACAAAATCACACAAAAATGATCAACGGAAATCAAATGTATCAACCCATGGAGGTCTGGATTTGGAGTCACACTCAAAATTAAAGTGGAAAACCACACTACAGGCTGATCCAACTTTGATGTAATGTCCTTAAAACAAGTCAAAATGAGGCTCAGTAGTGTATGTGGCCTCCACGTGCCTGTATGACCTCCCTACAACGCCTGGGCACGCTCCTGATGAGGTGGCGGAAGGTCTCCTGAGGGATCTCCTCCCAGACCTGGACTAAAGCATCCGCCAACTCCTGGACAGTCTGTGGTGCAACGTGGCGTTGGTGGATGGAGCAAGACATGATGTCCCAGATGTGCTCAATTGGATTCAGGTCTGGGGAACGGGCGGGCCAGTCCATAGCATCAATGCCTTCCTCTTGCAGTACTGCTGACACACTCCAGCCACATGAGGTCTAGCATTGTCTTGCATTAGGAGGAACCCAGGGCCAACCGCACCAGCATATGGTCTCACAAGGGGTCTGAGGATCTCATCTCGGTACCTAATGGCAGTCAGGCTACCTCTGGCGAGCACATGGAGGGCTGTGCGGCCCCCCAAAGAAATGCCACCCCACACCATGACTGACCCACCGCCAAACCGGTCATGCTGGAGGATGTTGCAGGCAGCAGAACGTTCTCCACGGCGTCTCCAGACTCTGTCACGTCTGTCACATGTGCTCAGTGTGAACCTGCTTTCATCTGTGAAGAGCACAGGGCGCCAGTGGCGAATTTGCCAATCTTGGTGTTCTCTGGCAAATGCCAAACGTCCTGCACGGTGTTGGGCTGTAAGCACAACCCCCACCTGTGGACGTCGGGCCCTCATACCACCCTCATGGAGTCTGTTTCTGACCGTTTGAGCAGACACATGCACATTTGTGGCCTGCTGGAGGTCATTTTGCAGGGCTCTGGCAGTGCTCCTCCTGCTCCTCCTTGCACAAAGGCGGAGGTAGCGGTCCTGCTGCTGGGTTGTTGCCCTCCTACAGCCTCCTCCACGTCTCCTGATGTACTGGCCTGTCTCCTGGTAGCGCCTCCATGCTCTGGACACTATGCTGACACACACAGCAAACCTTCTTGCCACAGCTCGCATTGATGTGCCATCCTGGATGAGCTGCACTACCTGAGCCACTTGTGTGGGTTGTAGACTCCGTCTCATGCTACCACTAGAGTGAAAGCACCGCCAGCATTCAAAAGTGACCAAAACATCAGCCAGGAAGCATAGGAACTGAGAAGTGGTCTGAGGTCACCACCTGCAGAACCATTCCTTTATTGGGAGTGTCTTTCTAATTGCCTATAATTTCCACCTGTTGTCTATTCCATTTGCAAAACAGCATGTGAAATGTATTGTCAATCAGTGTTGCTTCCTAAGTGGACAGTTTGATTTCACAGAAGTGTGATTGACTTGGAGTTACATTGTGTTGTTTAAGTGTTCCCTTTATTTTTTTGAGCAGTGTATAATGAATTGAAAAGTCCAAAAATGGATGTAGCAATCGCAGACTGCCCCTTTAACAAGGTGTTATGATGAGTTTCTGGTATCGAGAAGTTCCTGATGCAAGAGAATATAGGACACAGATGGGAGAGTTGATTCAGTCATTATTTAATGGTTACAATAATTGTTAAAGTCCAAAAATGGATGTAGCAATCGCAGATTGCCCCTTTAACAAGGAAAATAGCATTACAAGTAACAGAGTGCAGATTTTACAGAAAGTATTTCAATTGAAAGTATACAGATGTTGACATGTAACCATTATAACCCTCATAACATTATAACCCTCATACCCTTTATAACCCTCATAATATTATAACCCTCATACCCTTTATAACCCTCATAACATTATAACCCTCATACCCTTTATAACCCTCATAATATTATAACCCTCATACCCTTTATAACCCTCATAACCATTATAACCCTCATAATATTATAACCCTCATACCCTTTATAACCCTCATAACCATTATAACCCTCATAATATTATAACCCTCATAACCATTATAACCCTCATAACCATTATAACCCTCATAACCATTATAACCCACATAACCATTATAACCCACATAACCATTATAACCCTCATAACCATTATAACCCTCATAACCATTATAACCCACATAACCATTATAACCCTCATAACCATTACTCTAACCATAACAAGTGGTTGCATATCAACAGCATTTCAACAGAGTTTAGTTGAGAGTTTGTTGATATGGTGTGAGCATCTGTACCTAGATCATCCAATTCTATTCATCACAGAATTTTTAAGATTCCTCAGTGTGGAAACAATACTTCCAAACCAGGAGGGGGCAGTGTTAAGACCTCTTGGACACTTCTGTGGGAACACCTGGACACCTTTGTTCAACTTGTTTTCGAGTGCTCCCAAGCTTTCTGTTTTCAATGTTTTCCCCTTTTTCTCATTTATGTTCTCACCCCAGTGTGCTCCGGCCACCCACTGTCTCTGGTTGCTGTTGTAACAGCAGTAGGCTGTCCACAGGAGATCCGGGATGTTCACTCGGTTGTTCAGTTCGTTGTTCGTACTGGGCGCTGCTCCAGTCACCACATAGGCCTTTATCTTCCCGTTGTTATCAAGACAGTCGTTCTGAAGTGTTGTTCTGACATAGTCCTCCATATCCTTCCAGCTGCCCCCGTTGAAGGTCTCCACCTGGGGAACGATGTTGGTCAAGGTAAAGGTGGACTTCTGAGTTTCAAGGTCATGAGCATGTGAACATGGAAAGAGGTGACCTCTGTTCACCCCATTACTGTCTATTGAGTTCTTATAGTCGTTGTTCCCAGCCTGGTTTGGGTATGGAGACTGTCCCTTATCCTTACTCATTTCAGGGCTGTTTTTTATGTCGTTGAGCTGCAGGAAACAACAAACATACATTCATTCATTCACAAGTTTTCTGTACAATTAACCCTCTTTTGTGGTGGGGGGGGGGGGGGGGGGGGGGGGCGGGGGGGGGGTCACGATCCACAATCAAGACAGTCAATCAAGTCTCTATACCCTCTATAGTGGTAGTTCTATATTATGTTAACATTACTGCTATATATCACAGACAGTTAACAAGTATAAGTTATGTTATATGACAAAACATTAAGCCTACCTGGGGCTCGATCATCCAGGGTGGATCTGGTCTTGGGTCAGTAGGAGGACCAGTGAAGGTGTAGGCTGAGAACACAGGGATCTTGTTGATCGTGTCGTAGAGAGTTGCAAACCTGTAGCTGTTCTTGTACTTCTGGCAAATCGGTTTGTAGCGGTTCTGGTCCTTGACTGTCCCACCAACCAAAATACCCGGGAGATTTGGAGTTGTCCCCTCCAGGAAGAAATCACTGCACTCTGGAACATCACTGAACTTCCCCACTACATGAGAGAGAGAAGGAGGAAGGAGAGAGAGGAGGAGGAGAGTAGAGAGATGATTCAATACCTCCATCATCACCTGAAGACTGGACACCACAGAGACAAAGATGAAGTTACAGAGACCAGTTGGTAGACTGGAGCCTGCTGAGCTGAGACAAGACAGACTGCTTTAAATAGGTTTTCAGAGACTCCTCCTTCAGATGTCAAGACAGATAGGGTGGATTTGCATAAACTCCTCTGTATGCTTACATGGAAACTGCTGTAACAAATAAAATGTGACTCACCTACTGAAGGCCTATTCCATGGGACTGTATGGTGATCAGGCCTCTGGGCCTTTTAACAAGAACCACCACAGACATTTTAATTTACTTCATGTTAATTCAACATTTTCATGGGCCCTAACTCTGCCATTGAGAATGTCATGTCTTTACTTTTCCTTGATAAGTGTTTTAAAGAAATGGGGTGATTTGGGGGATTTGTTTTTGGACGGAAGCGGTAGAGATCAGTCAGGAATTGAACTTCTGAAGCCAAATATATAATTAAACCATTAAATGACCGGGTATGATGGTGCATTGATCAGTTATACAGTTTAAAGCTGTTCTTTTGCATTTTTGCCCAAAGTCAACCTTTTAACACATTGACTTTGTTTGAACTTCATTTCATAAACAAAATCTTAGGAGGACAAATCATTTTGAATGTTCCCACCCTTCCTTCTCCTGACAGTTGCCTGGCCAACTGATTATAAAATGCCCCAGATGAACCTTGACCTGGTAGTTTAATGCAGAAGGAGTGAACGCTCTCTGTACGCTGAGTTCTTCTTCCTATCTCATGATCTAAGGATGCCTCAGGTGGTAAACAGGCCACTGGGTAAACAGTATCTTACTGAATGATGAACTATTCTATCATGAGATCTGGGAGAAGGTGTGTCTAAAGAAAACAGAGCACCTGGCCTACAGTAGTCTGCTACAAGCAGTCAGCTTCCTTTTCGTTTTATTTATACAAGTTACCAGATCAACCTGTACTTGTTTGTTTGGCATAATTATCTGACTTGCAAGCAGTCAGTTGCCAACTAGTGGCCTTGTGGGTAGTGTCCACCCTGATAAGGTGTTGGGGGTTTGATCCCTGTTTGAGTCATACCAAAGACTCTATAAAATGGGGCCTGATGCGTCTGCTTGAAGGAGATGGATTGGGTGTAAGGCCCTCTAACAGATTAGCTTCCTGTCCAGTACTTGTACATCCAGCTGCCTCACGCTACAGAAACAAGAGAAAGGTTCTTGAACTTTGGGCCGTTCTGGCTTGGACAAGACTTACTTACTTAAGCAGTCAGTTGACAATTAAAACAACATTTCACTCATTCTGCATCCAAACAAACAGGTTAAGGTTGATCTTGTGAATTTGATGAATAAACTTTAATAAAATAAGCTAAATGGTCTATTGACTTTTGAAGATTCTCTTATGGAGAAACAAAAACAGGCTTCTCCTTCACAGTGTTGAAACGGTGAGAAATGTTGTTCACATGGAATAGGCCTGAAGTTACAGCAGTGTCCATGGAATAGGCCTGAAGTTACAGAAGTTTCCATGGAATAGGCCTGAAGTTACAGAAGTTTCCATGGAATAGGCCTGAAGTTACAGCAGTTTCATGGAATAGGCCTGAAGTTACAGAAGTTTCCATGGAATAGGCCTGAAGTTACAGCAGTGTCCATGGAATAGGCCTGAAGTTACATAAGTTTCCATGGAATAGGCCTGAAGTTACAGCAGTGTCCATGGAATAGGCCTGAAGTTACAGCAGTGTCCATGGAATAGGCCTGAAGTTACAGAAGTTTCAATGGAATAGGCCTGAAGTTACAGAAGTTTCCATGGAATAGGCCTGAAGTTACAGAAGTTTCCATGGAATAGGCCTGAAGTTACAGAAGTTTCCATGGAATAGGCCTGAAGTTACAGAAGTTTCCATGGAATAGGCCTGAAGTTACAGCAGTGTCCATGGAATAGGCCTGAAGTTACAGCAGTGTCCATGGAATAGGCCTGAAGTTACAGAAGTTTCCATGGAATAGGCCTGAAGTTACAGAAGTTTCAATGGAATAGGCCTGAAGTTACAGAAGTTTCCATGGAATAGGCCTGAAGTTACAGAAGTTTCCATGGAATAGGCCTGAAGTTACAGCAGTGTACATGGAATAGGCCTGAAGTTACAGAAGTTTCCATGGAATAGGCCTGAAGTTACAGCAGTTTCCATGAACTAGGCCTGAAGTTACAGAAGTTACAGCAGTGTCCATGGAATAGGCCTGAAGTTACAGAAGTTTCCATGGAATAGGCCTGAAGTTACAGAAGTTTCAATGGAATAGGCCTGAAGTTACAGAAGTTTCCATGGAATAGGCCTGAAGTTACAGCAGTGTCCATGGAATAGGCCTGAAGTTACAGCAGTGTACATGGAATAGGCCTGAAGTTACAGAAGTTTCCATGGAATAGGCCTGAAGTTACAGCAGTTTCCATGAACTAGGCCTGAAGTTACAGCAGTGTACATGGAATAGGCCTGAAGTTACAAAAGTTTCCATGGAATAGGCCTGAAGTTACAGCAGTTTCATGGAATAGGTCTGAAGTTACAGCAGTGTCCATGGAATAGGCCTGAAGTTACAGAAGTTTCCATGGAATAGGCCTGAAGTTACAGAAGTTTCCATGGAATAGGCCTGAAGTTACAGAAGTTTCCATGGAATAGGCCTGAAGTTACAGAAGTTTCCATGGAATAGGCCTGAAGTTACAGAAGTTTCCATGGAATAGGCCTGAAGTTACAGAAGTTTCCATGGAATTGGCCTGAAGTTACAGAAGTTTCCATGGAATAGGCCTGAAGTTACAGAAGTTTCCATGGAATAGGCCTGAAGTTACAGCAGTGTCCATGGAATAGGCCTGAAGTTACAGAAGTTTCAGGGAATCCCTCTCTCCCTCTCTCCCTCTCTCCCCCTCTCTATTCTCTCTCTTTCTCTCTCTCTCCCTCGCTTCCCCGTTCTTCCACTCCTCTCTCCCCCCTTTTTATTCCTTCATTTCTGATTGAGGTAGAAATGTTACATGTATGATTTCCAGGTAGAAATGTTACATGTATGATTTCCAGGTAGAAATGTTACATGTATGACCTTTAAATGCTTCCAGTGCTTCAGTCTTTTAACTATCTTCACACATGGCTTTGTTTGTATATATATACAGTGGGGAAAAAAAGTATTTAGTCAGCCACCAATTGTGCAAGTTCTCCCACTTAAAAATATGAGAGAGGCCTGTAATTTTCATCATAGGTACACGTCAACTATGACAGACAAATTGAGAAAAAAAAATCCAGAAAATCCCATTGTAGGATTTTTAATGAATTTATTTGCAAATTATGGTGGAAAATAAGTATTTGGTCACCTACAAACAAGCAAGATTTCAGGCTCTCACAGACCTGTAACTTCTTCTTTAAGAGGCTCCTCTGTCCTCCACTCGTTACCTGTATTAATGGCACCTGTTTGAACTTGTTATCAGTATAAAAGACACCTGTCCACAACCTCAAACAGTCACACTCCAAACTTCACAATGGCCAAGACCAAAGAGCTGTCAAAGGACACCAAAAACAAAATTGTAGACCTGCACCAGGCTGGGAAGACTGAATCTGCAATAGGTAAGCAGCTTGGTTTGAAGAAATCAACTGTGGGAGCAATTATTAAGAAATGGAAGACATACAAGACCACTGATAATCTCCCTCGATCTGGGGCTCCACGCAAGATCTCACCCCGTGGGGTCAAAATGATCACAAGAACGGTGAGCAAAAATCCCAGAACCACACGGGGGGACCTAGTGAATGACCTGCAGAGAGCTGGGACCAAAGCAACAAAGCCAACCATCAGTAACACACTACGCCGCCAGGGACTCAAATCCTGCAGTGCGAGACGTGTCCCCCTGCTTAAGCCAGTACATGTCCAGGCCCGTCTGAAGTGCATTTGGATGATCCAGAAGAGGATTGGGAGAATGTCATATGGTCAGATGAAACCAAAATATAACTTTTTGGTAAAAACTCAACTCGTCATGTTTGGAGGACAAAAATGCTGAGTTGCATCCAAAGAACACCATACCTACTGTGAAGCATGGGGTTGGAAACATCATGCTTTGGGGCTGTTTTTCTGCAAAGGGACCAGGACGACTGATCCGTGTAAAGGAAAGAATGAATGGGGCCATGTATCGTGAGATTTTGAGTGAAACCCTCCTTCCATCAGCAAGGGCATTGAAGATGAAACGTGGCTGGGTCTTTCAGCATGACAATGATCCCAAACATACCGCCCGGGCAACGAAGGAGTGGCTTCGTAAGAAGCATTTCAAGGTCCTGGAGTGGCCTAGCCAGTCTCCAGATCTCAACCCCATAGAAAATCTTTGGAGGGAGTTGAAAGTCTGTGTTGCCCAGTGACAGCCCCAAAACATCACTGCTCTAGAGGAGATCTGCATGGAGGAATGGGCCAAAATACCAGCAACAGTGTTTGAAAACCTTGTGAAGACTTACAGAAAACGTTTGACCTGTGTCATTGCCAACAAAGGGTATATAACAAACTATTGAGAAACTTTTGTTATTGACCAAATACTTATTTTCCACCATCATATGCCAATAAATTCATTAAAAATCCTACAATGTGATTTTCTGGATTTTTTTTTCTCATTTTGTCTGTCATAGTTGACGTGTACCTATGATGAAAATTACAGGCCTCTCTCATCTTTTTAAGTGGGAGAACTTGCACAATTGGTGGCTGACTAAATACTTTTTTCCCCCACTGTATATATACAGTGGGGAGAACAAGTATTTGATACACTGCCGATTTTGCAGGTTTTCCTACTTACAAAGCATGTAGAGGTCTGTAATTTTTATCATAGGTACACTTCAACTGTGAGAGACGGAATCTAAAACAAAAATCCAGAAAATCACATTGTTTGATTTTTAAGTAATTAATTACAACAACACTGCAGCACCGAGGTGGGTTACAGTTGCTGAGTTCACGTTCAATTAATATCCCACAAGGCTTAGCGCCTCTGACTCAGCAACTCAAAGAAGTAACACTTGCATTTCCCTTG